CCATTGGCCTCAGGATTGTGGTTGGGACGCAGAGGACAGTGGAAGTCTTGCTGCTTGTGGTAGTTTTTATTTAGACCCCTGGTGGGCAAGGGCAGGTCTGAGGTGAACCGGGTGGCCTCTATATTAACCTAGAAGAGGTGGGAGTCACATTATTGAATGGATGTTCAGTCCAGCCCAGCGCTAAGTGCTTCAAAACCTGCCATGTTCCTTCCAAGAGCTCAGAGATGAGTTAATTAAATGGCTGTTCTTAAGGCACACAGATAAGCAGCGAAGCTGGACCTCGTCCTTAGCCCTATTTACAGCCAGGGAAACTGTCCTGGAGAGAAGTGCAATGCCCGGGTAACGGCTAGTGAGAGATGCAGCTTGGAAACAGAACCATCGCTAGGCCAGTCCACTGCCCATCCACAGTCTCCAGCGTGGGCCACCGAGCTGGGCAGGACAGGCCCGTCCATGCCATGGCCCCTGGAGCCGTGAGCCCCAGGAAGCTGGCTCCAAGTGCCCTGGCCCTGATCTTACTCTTCCAAACCCTCTTCCCTAGAGATGGTGGAGGTGGGGCTTAGTTCCTGATCCCGAGCCTTCCCAGGCCCAGTGAAGACCCCGCCAGCGAGAAGGTGGCCCCACAACCTGTCCCGGACGCGACGGTCAAACACAGGAAGAACCCCGCAAGCTCCAGCGGGCAGCGGGCTCCAGACTAGGGGGCGGGAGGCCGGCCTGGGCGGAGCAAAGGGCGCTCGGCCTCGTTGATTGGCCGCGGCTGCAGAGCTGTCTCTCTAGGATTGAACCTTTTCTTTAGGGAGGCGGGGCCTTGATACACTCTCACCAATAGGGTTCAAGGAATCCGCCTCCCACAGGACACTTCCGGTTGTGCTCTGCGCTCCTTACCGCCAAAGCTCCGGCTGTGGCGCCTAGCCCCGGCGTATGCCGATCACTTCCGGGTGATGCTCCACGGCCAGGAGCCGCGATTGGGCTACCGTAGACGGGGTACTTCCGGTGTCCAGGTGCTGGGTTCTTTGGTAGGAGGAAGATGGAGCCCAACACCGCGGCCCGGGCTTGGGCCCTCTTTTGGTTGCTGCTGCCCTTGCTTGGCGCGGTTTGCGCCAGCGGACCCCGTACCTTAGTGCTGCTGGACAACCTCAACGTGCGGGAGACTCATTCGCTTTTCTTCCGGAGCCTGAAGGGTGAGAGCGGGGTCTGAGGGAGGAGCGTGTGGGGGCCTGGGGTTGTTACGGCATCGAGGGCATTGAGCACTCTCCTCCCCACTCCCTTTCCTGGAGCAGGTCGCCCGGGTCTGGCCTGCCGCTTGGGGTGC